GCATCCGAGGAAGTGGGTTGTAGCCCACGAAAGCTTATGCTCTAATAAATTTGTTAGTCTCTAAGGTGCCACAAGTACTCCTGTTCTTTCATCTATATTGACCCCTAAATTAATTTCAGGGTCACTGCTTTCTAGCATACAGTCACCCATTCTGTGGCCTACATTTTTTGTTCCTAGATGTAGGATCTTGAACTTGGCCATATTAAAATTCATTTATCAACACAAGTTATTCTTAACAATTGGACTTTAAATCCTGTCAAAGTATACTGAGTTCATTTAATAAGCTCTATTTTACATGAACCCATGATGAGGGGTATTAATTGTATTTCCACCCTTTAACTCGTTAGTGATAGAGTATTGTCGTCAATTGCCTTGCGTGTTTGTGTGTGCTTTCCGTGTGCTTTCCCAGCTCTGCGCAGACAGCTGGTTCAGCAGATCTTGATAGTACTACCCAGCGTGGTTAAGTGCTGGGGGCTGGAATATCGTTGCCTCAGTAGCACTGTACAAGCTGCTCAGTGCTTCTGTCCTTGAAATTCAGTGTTATTAGCAGATATCGCAGCCTGCTGAACTAATGCTGCACTGTCACTCAAAGACAGACCACAGGCACGGTGCAGTGACAAAGGCACTCGGCCAGGTGTATTGCCATCAAGACACAGTCCTAGGGCCCTGGCTCGGTGGTTACCGGTACGCTAACACATGAGTGCTCTGTGTCAAGGAACGGTTCAGTCAGCAGCTGGACTTTCTGCCGCCACCTCAGCTGAACAAAGAATCAAGGCAAAGTACCCCAACATTTATAGGCTAAAAAAAACCCTAACGTACACAACTTACACATTTCATGGCATTTGTTTGTTACCTCCCCTTGTTCCTGATATCTTGGACAAAACATCCCTCTTCATTATGTTGTCAACCTCTCTTATCTGGTACTAGTTTGGGATGTATCTGTACTAGCTGGAATATATTTACACAACTATCTAGTGCCTACTGTGCTAGCAACAGCTTTGCCAAGTTCATGTACCGGACAGTGAACTTGTAAGCATCTGCTTTACTGCAGGGCCTGACTTTGGTTGTGGAATTTGATAACACCAATGATTTGGCTGAGCCCAGAGTTTGCAACGAGCAGATTAGGCTGTGGGGCTCCTCTTTGAATGTAGGCAATTCCTTAACAGACAGACCATAAAATGGCCCTTGCAGTTGCTCCTGAAATAATGCACCTAGAATCTAGATCAAATTACTCATAAAATCTGGAACTACAGAACTGACTCCTCCTCGGGAGGGATCATGGATTATTTTTCAGTTTGTTTAAAATAGAATCTAGGAACTTTGGTGAAAATCCCCTTAGAAACGTGAATTAGAATAATCAAATAAAAGAACAGGCTGAGTTCTACATTCAATTTAATGGCAGTTCTCTGTCTGTAACACAGTTTTTGAACGTCACAGCCAGCTGAGTAGAACTACACTGATTTTGGTGAAAATCGGAAAACCAGAAAGGGAAAAAATGGGAGACATATGGAGTCCCTTTCCTCTGTGCAGCAGAACCACGGCTTCAAGCACCTCTGTAATTACCTAGCGATCAAAGAACTGGTTAACACTTTCCAGGATAACAATACCTCATCTCATCTCTGCCCATCTTCCCAATAGACTTTAACGGGTTGATATTTTGAATGACTTATCACCAGACAGAAAGAGGACAAATGGCGAGGGTGGAAGGAAAGAATGGGACGTGCACACTGAGCCCCTGGCAGGGGGCAGAGTGGGAAACCCTGGGCCTGGCGGAGGACGGGGGGGGGGAGAGCACACAGAACCCTGTCATGGGTGGAGAGAATGTGGGACCCTGGTATGAGGGATACACGTAGACTCTAGCATGGACGGGAAGAATGGGAGACAGTGGCATGATGGAGAGGGAAGCACGTGGGACACATGGAGCTTGTGAGTTGGAGTGGCAAGATGCAAGGAGCCCCTGGTTTGTTCCATGAGTTTGGCCTACAGAAGCTACAAAATGTGCAACCCTGTAGTAGTAGTAATAATTACTAGTAGTTCATTCTACTCAGAGGTTCTATCATTACTATTAATAATGTGAATGACGTATTTTAAAATGCATTTTCAGGCATACCGCTCTGTATTTTGCTGACCCCAACTCACTGTAATTCTTTTAGATGAGTTGCTACATAAGAACGAGCAGCTGAGTGTCCAAGTAGAGTACTTAACTCTGGAATTAAAACAACATAAGAAACTGCAGGAGACGGTGCATCTTCTACAGGAGAGTCAGAGGTATGATGAACGGTATGGTGTAGAAGCTCCACACACATGGAGGCCAGGTCTACAGTAAGCAATTAGGTCGGTATAACTACGTTGCTCAGGGGTGTGAAAAATCCACACCCCTGAGCGCCTCAGTTAAACTGACCTACCCACTGGTGTAGACAGAGAGAAGCCCTCCCGTTGCCATAGCTACCAGCTCTCAGGGAGGTGGAGTACCAGTGCTGATAGGAGAAGCCCTCCCGTCGGCGTCGATATTGTCTTCACTGAAACCACAGCTGCGCCGCTGCAGCGCTTTAAGTATAGACCTGCCTAGAGACTTTTTGCAGAAAGTCTCGTTTTCAAATGTCCTGGTCACACACACAGCTCTCACTGAAGTCAGTGAGAACAAAGTATGCTCCACACCTCTGAAATTCAGGCTACACATAAGTGCATTGGGGGGTGGGGGGGAAATAGTTCTGACTCGTTAAATCAAATTGGGTTTTAGGCTCATCTCCTTTTCTAAAAATGGGATCTACCTAGATTACGGTGACTCGCACTGTGTCACTATATTATCTCCACTGTATATTTGTAGAAACATGATTGACTTCTTCATAGGGTGGGGTGAGCTACTATGATTTTCATTATAAGCCTGGTTTTTAATCAAAAGTGACATTTCAGGCAGATTGATTTTAGAAGCATGAACTTTTAAACAGCGGAGGATTTTTCACAGAGGTTCAGGCAAATCTGACAAAGCATTTGATGATCTCACTTACACATTTTCCAAAATGTCTTGAACTAAAAATCCAAATATGTTTTGACCTTGGTAAAGGCTTTGATTAGTTCAGGGGGAAAATATTTGTGTGTTCAAAACAGTTTCCTCATGTATCTAAAGCCGGCATGGAGTTCCAAACTCCTCATGGCCCCAGGCACACTTCACAAGCTCAGCCCAGCATCACCGGTGTGTTTGCACAGCTCATACATTTGTCAGGGACTCCTGACGGTGAGCAGTTCTTAAATACCTTAATAGGCCAAAGCCACACTTCGTTAAGCAGGTTCTAATTCTAAATTGGTTAAATGAATGAATACTGTAGTTTTCTTCAAATACAAACGTATTAGCCTGGAAAAAAAATCAAAATTAAGGTTACATAAAAAAAAATCAGCTAAACTTTAAAAGTAAAGAACTTTACAGTTGATGTCACTCAAGTAATCTTAACGAGGAGTATTTGTGGCACCTTAGAGACTAAAACATTTATTTGGGCATAAGCTTTTGTGGACTAAAACCCACTTCATCAGATGCATGGAGTGGAAAATACAGTAGGAAGATATATATACACACAGTACATGAAAAGATGGGAGTTGCCTTACCAAGTGGGGGGTCAGTTTTAATGAGACAATTCAATTAAAGTGGGCTATTATCAACAGGAGGAAAAAAATCACTTTTGTAGTGGTAATCAGGGTGGCCCATTTCAAACAGTTGACAAGAAGGTGTGAGTAACAGTAGGGGGAAATTAGCATGGGGAAATTAGTTTTTAGTTTTTGTAGTGACCCATACAACTCTGATCTTGTACAACAGCTCATAGAACAACCAAAAACCCAGAGACAATCCTGCGTTCATATTATGGACATATAAAATAACATACTTATTCATTGTAACAGTGACTCTGAAAACTGAGAAGCAATCTAATTAGACACTGGCTATGTACACGCTACCGCTTAAGTGAGTATAAATTATGTCACTCAGGGGTGTGAATAAGCCACCCCCACCCCCCCCGAGTGACGG